GGTTAAAATGATGATGACTAAAGTTTGATGTGACATGTTGTGGAAAGTTTGTGAAAGTAACACGCCCTATCCCAACACCTCGGTAAGAACAGATTTACAGAGAGCCGTTGGTAAATCTAGCGAGCCGTGAGGATTACCAAAAGAAGATTTGGCTCTAACGAGACCACGAAGGTTTGCATATGCATGCATATTCTGTAAATCCCGCTTACCGGATAGCTGTCTATTGTAGCCCCGGGGACTAAGCAGCAGTGATCCCCGAACGGGGTTGGCTCCACCACATCTCCGTCGTAAGATCAGCCACTGAAGTCTCACAGAAACATCCATCATGAGTCCATCGACCTTTCAGGACCACTCGCTCCAGCAGCACTCCAGCCTCGACCAGTCCGCTGCCGACCTCGTTCTTCTCTCAAGCAGTCTCGACAAGTCTAAACGCATCACCGAGAATCTGGAGAAGATGCTGTCTGGCTTCGATGATGTCTGTCTTCATCCCCTCCCTTGCTTTCTTATATTGGTTATGTAACCATGGCTAACAAAGGATCGCGTTTTCTTAAATATTATTTATGATTTGGGCTGTGGTCGCACCAAATCGTCTCCGTGATAAATTCCGGCTCGGTAAACGCCCTTTTCTTTCTGGTGGGATCTTACGATTTTCAGAGGCTCTCAAGATTAGAAAGAACAATCTTGCCGATTCACAACGACACGAGAACGCTAAACCGAATCAATGCAAGTACGGAGGAAATGATTGTCTCAAGAAATTGAATGCACAGAGGGCCCATCAGAGCTTACAAACGCTGTGCGACCCTCAGACATCGACAAAACCATTTCGGCTGTCGATAAGCTGCTCGCCCATCATGACGCGGCCATGCATCAAGAGATCGTCATCCAAAATGGGTCAGCTGTTGCGTTGCCTTCGTGACTCGTCAATTTTCGCTTATCACCTCCCCTCTCATTCTCCCCCTCAGTCCTAACCCCAACCAGCTCGGTACTTTCATGTCTTCACTAGATGAAATTGTCCAGTCAATTCATATACTCTCTCGCAATGAAGCTCCCGTCGGCGAATCCACCCGCAATGCCGTAAGTTGGTTCTTGAGAAGGGCTATCCTAACTCATTTGACGGTTCCTTTGAATTCAAAACATATCATAATGAAATATACCCATGGTATATCTGTTTTGATCTGATATGCTACCAGGAAAAATTACTCAAAACTGGCCTAAGGAGTCTCAGTGACGTTTTTGCTGGTTGGGTTCAAGAATCTACTGGGCCGCCGCTATCAGATCCGATCCACCAGACGGTTGAACGTCAGCTACAACCCACTTTCTTCTTCTTCTTACGTCTCTTAAAAATACCCTCAGGAGAAACCACGTGATGGATTCAACTAATATTTTGATTTGGATTCACACAATGCACTTGCGTTGACAGCTTCCCAGCCTTTAGGATTCCCACCCGACACGATTAACAAACTTCATAACTTACATGGCCAGCTTCAACAGTTTTCTAAATCGCTTCCCAATAATGTAACCCTCCAAGAAACCCATAAAGAAATTACTTCAGTTTATGCTGCGGCCAGGAGTCAGTATGTATGTGCGAGCATGAAGCCCGTTAGTGATGGCTGCATCGAAGCTATCAGAAATGGCGAAAGATTCCGTTCATTTTCCACCTTTATCGCCTGCTTGCTCGATATGCTAAATGTTGAGTGCTTTTGTCCTGCTGCCTGTGTTTTACTGTGGGCCCTTCTTCGAATATATTCCCTTTATTTTTTTTTCGGAAAAGCTAATGGAGATCTCACACGTGTATTCCATTGGTCTGTTAGGTTGAATACAAGGCGGTCATATCTGTCTTCAAAGGCGCCAGTCCAATTCAGATCAAAACAACTTTCTCACAAGTGATTTCAGCACCCTTAGAATTACTCTCCGAAACCGGAAAATCCGTTAACAATTTTATCAAACGATCGCTGTCCTCGTACATTGGAGTTGCCTTTGATACGTATGCGGCCATCTCAGATCAATTGCCAAGATTTGACGAAGAAGTTCGACGGCCTGCGGGACGGAAGGAGAATGAGCTTGTGGATCTCTTGCATTCCTTCAAGGCCTCCTGTCTGCGTTCGTTGCCCGAATTCATTGCGGATACCAAGTCGTTCGGGGAGAAACAACCGGTTGGCAGTGAAGCCAGTAATACCATGACGAGCGAAATGACGATCGTGGTGGTTGAATATCTTAAAACGCTTTGTCAACATCCCGACATGGTCGAGAGTTTTTTGGGAATTCTCGGCGACGGAAAATGGATATTTGGGGCGACAAATAATCCGAAGACTCCCACGGTTCCTGGCACTTCTGACGATGAAGCGCCACTCTTGGTCAAGTATCTTGGTCAGTGATTGTCAGAAGTATTTTGTGCTGATTGAGCTTGGGCTAATAGATGATTTACCTATAGATGATGCATTGTCGACCTTGTATGCTGCGGTAGAAGCACGATCCAAGAATCTGAAGTTGAAGTCAACCGTGGCGAATGCCATTACGAGCGTGACGGCTCGGAACGGGGTTGGAGCGATCTACATGCTGAATAACTTTGCATATATCCGACGAGAATTGATCGAGTCAGCGGTTTTAGATATCTACGGAGATAAGCTAGCGGAGCAGCTGAACAAGCGAGTGCGGACGTGCAAAGTCCGATACCTGGAGATCTGGTCGCCGTTGATCTCGGCCCTGATGGATGCCGGGGCAGATGACGGCAAATTCGGACTGGGGGCCGTCAAGAGCGCCTTACCAGGTCAGCACGCTGGCGCTGAACGCAGAGACGTCAAGGACCGCTTCGGCAGATTCAACGAGGCCTTTGAGGAAGTTATGCTGTTACATCAGGCCGCTAATATCGCTAGCAACGATCCGGATTTGAAGGATCAATTGAGAAATGAAATCGAAAGAATGATCATGCCCACCTGTCAGTCTCCACACCTACTCACCCTTTTGTCGCCTTCACGGATCAAGTCTCCTTTTCTTACAACCATTATCTCTTTCGTTTTTTTTTTTTATCTAGATGCTAAATTCACCCAACGACATGAAGGTGGACAATTTTCCAAAAGTAAGCGGTCTCCGAGACAGATTTTTGTTGTTGCTGCTCGATGTAAACGATTCTTGGGGGCTCATTCATTCTGTCTTTGATGACTGATAGATCCAGCGAAATATCTCAAGTTTTCGGCCGAACAACTGGAAGAGAGATTAGATGGATTGTTTTGCTAAGCAGGTGGCAGAAGATGAGATGATGTTACCGATGGTGCATTTTTTCCATCTCATCGTCTGTACATATACCAAGTACTCCATGATCTTCCAAATCTACAAGTCTCTCATCACACCGGTCAAAATATCTTCTCCGCTAACTTCATCCGTCACTCTTTTTTTCTGGACTTTCTCGTGTCGCTCCGACTACTTCGATCTGTTTGCTCTCCTCACCATTCCTGTACTCCTATTTCTCTTCAACCTTAACACCCAATCCCCATCCTTGCCTTCTTTTCTGATGAACCCAGTGAGCTCAAAGTTGCTAGTAAATCGGATTGTATTCCTTGACCGGCCCTTGCGCGACACGCGCCCGGCTAGCTCAGTTGGTAGAGCATTCGACTCTTACGTAAGGGTCTCCCTCCCGAGGTTGCTATCGAATTGTCGTGGGTTCGAGCCCCACGTTGGGCGTATCTTTTTGCCTCAGTCTCCACTTGTTTTCAACCTTTCAGCTTGACTGACACCTCTCACACTTATTCAAAATATCCTCCCTAGATTTACTTGAAGCTGATTCATTGCAAATTTTCATCTTCTCAGGTGAGGTCAGTTTTAGGTACTAATGATCAAGTATTTATATGTATGTTTCAATGTTTATGTATAGTACTTTTTTTATTATATTTTTTTGGACTATGTGGGCTTGTCTCTGCATAGCTGCAAGATCACACATGTCCTGTCCATGATTCAATAGATCAAGGAAAATAAAACGGGTCAGAATCACACAGTATGGCATGAGCCTGTGCTTCCTGTAAAGTTATCATTTGAAGTCTCAAAAATCAACTCTTTCAAAGTATTTCTGTGAAGATAAGTGATTGAATATATTTGAAATGTGGGAATACTGTTTTTGTCATGTGATGTAAATGTCATGTGGACAACCTAATGTACTGAAGGGGAGATTTGGTTGGTCAAAGTGCAAAAGGAAAGGTTTAAAGATGGGTGTAAATGTATCTTTGAAGTCTTTGAAGATAATAAACTCAAATTTGAGGAAAGATGACTCAATAGGGCAATGGCTATTGGCAAAGGATAAGATGTGAAAATTAAAATATTAATCAACTGAGGAAAAGAAGGAGAGAACACAGAAAATATTTTATATTCAAAGAAAGGGGTACAAGCTCAAAGATAGAGAACAAGCAGAAGAGGGTCAAAGCACAAGAGAGATTGAAGAGTTAAAGCAAGGGGAGTGTACTTTGAACAAGCCAGAAAGTTGATGGTTGATCCACTCAAAAATCCTTGTGGTGTGGAAAGAAAAACCGTCTCAGTAGGTAACTGAGTGTCCTCCTCTGATGGAGTACTGCGGAGAACTTCTAGATTGGTGAGTATCATTCTTAATACCCAATAACAAACACTCCCTTGTTACCACTCTTTGCACACTGCAACCCGGAAAGAGACTGTGAATGTTCTG